CCAGAAAGAGGGCACCGATATATTCCATTTTCACACCAGATCTTGGGTTAATAAAAATATTGTGATGTATGTAATCTGAAGACAATCGGACACTTATATCACATTTTATAAGATTTATAATAATTCAAAATTATGACCCTTTGTGGGGGAGGTACTTGCTGGAGTGGACCAATATTGTCAATTTTCGCATCTTACCTAGTACTTCTACAAATATTAGGATGGAGCAAAATTGTATTATCCTTTCTCTTTCTGTGCAGTAAAATATTTTCTTTGAAATTTTTGACGTTTTGTGTGGTAGGTACCAGAATGAGTGAACCAATATTGCCCATCTCCGAACTCGATCTAAGTTTGACAATAAGTTTTGGACCAAATCGAATGCTCCCCTCGGGAGTTATCGTGCGCACCAGCCAGACAGACAGACGGACGGACGAACATCGCTAGATCGACTCCAAATGTCCTCTAACGGATTTGGTCCAAAGAGACATAGGGTCTAAAACCGTTATTTCGACTAGACACGTTTTGCCCGTATCAAATGATATATGGCTGAAGGTATAAAAAGCAGATCAGGATTTTCAGTGCTTTTTAGCATTTCCCTACCATATTCTCTGTATTTTCCTAATGAATTGGATATCCATGCTTTGTGAGGTGGAATTTGTCTAAAACTATAGGGCAATGAAATTTGAGGTTTCTTCAAAAATACTGCCCTACCAATGAACTTTATGTTGTCTTAGGTCAAATAAACAACAAATAGAGATCGTAGAGCTCGTATAACTTAAAGATATTTTGACTACCTTAACGTAGTCAGGGAAAATCCATGACCGATACTGTCAATGTTTTAAACATTTAAGCATGTTTTGTATGAAAATGTCCTATTTTGACTGTTGACTTGCCAACACCAGAAAATATCAAGGCCCATTTGTAAAAATCAAAGAGGAGTAATAGTTTCCTTTTCTGTCAACGTGAAATCCATCAAGAGAAGATAGCTCATAAAAATGTTCTACAAATTTTAAACGTTGGATACTTTAAAATAGTTGCCATTAAAAATTGAGTTTTGGAAGCAAAAAAAGAGAACAGCTGCCTTTGCCGTACTACCTTGTATACAATTGTTTTATATATTTTGTTAAATTAAATATTAACTCGCTTATTCAATGTGGCATGAACGCCGTTTTCTACTTTATTGGCATTTATTTAGAATTTTAGACTTTAATTTCCCACAAATCAAGTAGTAGCAAGGAAACAAGTAAAAAAACATTAAGTTCGGCCGGGCCAAACTTTTAATACCCTCCACCTTAGGGTAAAAAGAAACATTAGAAGAAATGTGGCAAAAACCATTAAAATGCCGATTATGGGGAGGTACCGTTATATGGGGGCTATACCAAAACGTGGACCTATAATTACAATGTTTCGCCACCGGAGCTGGAACCCATTATGACCCACAAATACCAATTTTTAGACAAATCAGTGAAAAAATGTGGCAAAAACCATCAAAATACCGAATATCGGGAGGTACCGTTATATGGGGGCTATATCAAATCATGGACCCATGCATGCAATGTTTCGCCACCGAAGCTGGAACCAATTATGACCAACAAATACCAATTTTCGAACAAATCCCTGAAAAATGTGGCAAATTACCGAATATCGGGAGGTACCGTTATATGGGGGCTATACCAAAACGTGGACCTATAATTACAATGTTTCGCCACCGGAGCTGGAACCCATTATGACCAACAAATACCGATTTTCAGACAAATCGGTGAAAAAATGTGGTAAAAAAAACTAAAATACTAAATATCGGGAGGTACCTTTATATGGGGGCTATACCACAACGTGGACCTATACATGCAATGTTTTGCCACACGCTCAGGGACCCGCTATGACCTACAAATACCAATTTTAAGACAAATCCGTGAAAAAATGTGGCATAAATCATCAAAATACCGAATATCGGGAGGTACCGTTATATGGGGACTATACCAGAACGTGGACCGATATATCTCATTTTCAATACCAACCATCCTAGACACAATGCAAATAGCTCTGCTAAATTTTGGAGCTCTACGTCAAATAATGTGGGCTGTATCGTGATTTCAACAGACAGACGGACAGACGGACAGACAGACAGACAGACGGACATCGTTAAATCGACTTAGAATTTTATGCTGATTATGAATATATATACTTTATGGGGTCTAAAACGAATATTTAGGGATGTTACAAACGGAATGACAAATTCCAAGGTGGAGGGTATAAAAATGCATAATTTAAAAAGAGAGAGACACCGTAACGTATGAGCAACATCATTACATGTAAATGTTGCTCATACGTCAATGTACAGCAGCAGCGTGCCACTGCAACTGCATTATTTATGGCCTGGCAATATATTTTGATTTGAAATCAGTTTAGTAGTCCGGACAATCTAAGACCCATAAGAAAACCATAAAGTAAACATAGCACACACAGACGGACACTGACTAACACAAACTGTCATTAATCATACGCCCTAGTGGTTTGAAAGAAAAAAAAAGCGATATTTCTTTATAGATTTCCTCTTTTACTCCTTTAATTCAACTCGAGCGAGCCAAAGAGAAATAACAGAAAAAAATACGCCAATATGTTTTTACTTTGTCCTCTCCAGTAAATCTTAAGAGTAATTTAAAATACATTTGCATGGAGATTTCGAAGCCAAGTCATTCGTAGGAGAGTTCAAACATGAGGCAATGACGATGATGACGACAACGACGAACACAGACAGTTGTTAAGTATCAAACACCAGACATCTTGAAAATAACTATAGGATAAAGCAGCAAAAGCAAAAAAGAAGAAACAAACGGATACAAGTGTTTGAAAGTGCATGTTAAGCAATAAATTAGAAAAACACATGTAACCACACACACACACACATATTTACAGACAGATACAAAGGAAATTTGGTAAATAGTATTCTTTTTCGAAATGCTTACGAAGGGTAATGTGTTTGATAGCACACACCTACATTGTGTAATTTATGTTACGAAGACAATCAAGTTGTGTTGGGGGAAAGGAAATGTATGGAAGATTAGAAAAAAACAATGAAAAAAAAAAAAAATATTTTATCAGGAAATAATCAAAATCTAATCGAATGGAATTTCTGCTTAATAAACCTATGTTCGAGGTCATGTTTTTAGACTTCAAACAAGATTTAGTTAGAGTGAGGGAGTAAAACATTTTTTAAATTTTGAAAATAATTAAAGTCCTTTAATTACAGGGTCAAACACAATAAAGTCAAATGGCATAATTTTTATATATTTTTTTTAATGTTATTGAATAAAAGCAAACAATGTCCGAAAAAGCATAAAATTTTAGAATAATTTTAGATTTGTTCGAATTGGTCAACTTTGGCACGAATTGTGGCCTTCAAACGGCCAACGAAACCGTGACACGCAGTCCGAATGTGGCCCTGCAGTATTTTGGCCCGTTCCCAGCGAAGCGCTGGCTTGATACATCAGACCCGATAGTCCAACGGATTGGTATCCGGAGACTTTGGTGGTCATTGTGCGCTGGAAATGAAGCGAGTAACCTCATTTTGTAACCATTCTTGGGTGGCGCGAGCTGAGTGCGATGGTGCTGAGTCCTGTTGGAATGTCCAAGGTCTGCGGCCAAAATGTTTGCGTGCCCAAGGCTTTAATACACACTCCAGAATATTTTCGCGATAATATTCAGGATTTATTTTGATTCCAAAGTCGATTAATACGAGAGGAGAGCGACCATTTGCTGTTATGGCAGCCCACACCATCACCATAGCCGGCGCTTGAGTTCTGGTGGCCAACCGAAGGTGCATTTTCAACTGATCTCTTTGGCAAGTAAACACGATCATTTTGTTTGTTTGCAAGCTGCTGAACAACGAATGTTTTCTCATCGAAGACGGAAAAAACCAAATTCGGCAGTTCACCACGTTCGGCCAAGTGAAGAAAATCTTTAGCTCTTTTGAGTCTATTTTCTTTCTGTTTTGAAATTCCAATGGCTTTACCCCGAGCTCATTTTTTAATATTTACCGAACGGAATATTGTGATATGTTCAGCTCACGAGTCATTTTTCGGCCAAGCGACTTGGCCGAACTTCCTTACTTTTCGAACCATTTCTGCTGATGTTGCTGTTTTCTTCCATCCACTTTCGTGCACATTTAAATTTAAATGTTGGAGTGCTTGTTGTTTTCCAGCCAAATTCCATCACGAATAACTTTTTATCTGGAAAATGTTCACCAAAAAGCTTTTGTACGCTCTCAAACAATATAATGTTCTGCCACTGAAATAATTTTAACCGCTGTCGGACCAGTCGCTTAGAAATGACAGCAGTCTGAAGTTTGTAGCAGTTTTTTCATCTCATTCTGTATTTTCTGCAACTTTTATTAAATTTTTATTCAACGGAAATACTAAAAATGGCAAGGGAATTTACAACCTTCGACATTCGTTTCGTGTTTCAATAGATGTGTTCTTACGTCGATTGTAATACACAGAAAAAAACTACGACTACCTGTACCTGCCAGCATTTGATTTCCCTTTACTCGACATAAAATTTATGTTCTCTTTTCTCTGAGTTTCATCATCATAACATTTATGCACTGCATTTAAATGCTGCTGCACATTGCGAGCAAGTTTATTTCGTATCGTTTCGCAGCGCTATTTTCATGACGTTATTTATATATGCTGTGCATGTTTTTTATTGTAGTTGTTGCTTTGGTTTCTTAGTATTTTCCCGTATTTTTCCCTCGAAATACTTATCATTATACGCAAGGGGATTCAGCCAAGTTATCTTCCACCATCACCACCAACATTGCTGATGATGGGATTTTTGCATATTCGCATATTTCATATTATATTAAATATCTGTTTTTTCATTTATTTGAATGGAAGGAATTATTTACGGGAATTTAAGCTTAATAAGAAAAGCTGTGGAAAAAATGGAAATTAAAAACTGTTTAAGAGACACGACTTAAAACAAGCCACTAAGTTCGTGTTCACGTACGCAAGGATTAGTTTCCTCCGTGTATAAAGGGACTAATCTCATCTCTGCGTACGTGCACGATTTGATGTGCCATCACTGACAATCGATGTCAGTTCTCGACCTTTTCCTTTTGTTTAGTTTTTCTTTTTTTTTGGATCAACAGAGTTTGTTGATCACCGTAAGAGACGGTCGTGTTTTGCTACAACGTAAATTTAACAAATCAATAAATTGTGAAATCTTGAATTGCCAAAATAAAAAGTTGTGGTTTTTTTGTATTAAAAAAAAAAGGAAATTTTGGAACAACTCTAGTTTAATTTTTTACTGCCCCTACGAGGCCTGTGAGTTTGATTTTTTGGTCCCGATTGGACGACACTAAACCCCAGTATAACCTGTGACATACCTAAAGTGTGGATCGGGTATCCTGTTGCCGCAGAAAGTTAGTTGAGTGACAATAACATATGGTCCTTCCGAACCTACAACAACCAGAAAAAAAAAAAAAAATTGAAATACAGGCAGATATCAGCCATACTGAGGTACGTACGGTGCATTTATAAAAAGATCCAGAATATTTCTATCCCAGAACATACATCCATCATAACCTGTCCCATAACCTGTCATCCATTTTCCTATTGTTACTTGCGGTGTTGCAAAATTTCACCAAAAATCATAATTTTGCATCGAAAGAAGAAATAATGCAAAAAATACCGCTACCCATCAATTTGTTGTTGAGGTAGGTCAGTGTCTTTGCATAGAAAAAACAATAACAAAACGCACACAAAATAGTTTGGCTGTTCGAAACATACATACACACAGCCACATACATACCAAAGAGTGGTTGCTTGTGCGTTTTTGTTGTGATCTCTTGTTGCAGTCTGTCCCTTATTGATGTGTTGTTAGAGAAGAAGGAAAAAACAAGAATATCAATACAGTGGTTCGAAGAGATGCATTTGGGAAAATAAGAATAATATTTTTCACGTATTGAAAATAAATATTAGATTTTTGTCCCTAAACTGAAAAATTTGAATTAAAGCTCATTATACCGGACAATTAAAGTGGGCTAACGATAGATATAAATATTACACAAAAATTAACAGCTTTATGTTGTGTCGTCACTCACATTTTTGTCATCGCGGATCAATGTTGCAGTAACAGACACCAAATTTGGGCATCAAAGAAAAAAAAAAAAAAAAATAATTTTTGGTTTGCTCGTTTCTATGCGGTCACTCAAATGGAGTGAAATGGAATTTTGGTGCGAATAGAAATCAAAGTTTTCGCTAACGGTCACAATGAGAGTGGTTATTTGAACACTGCAAGAGCCTACCCTTGTAAGAGATACGCACAAGTAAATGATATCGACACAGTGGTGTCAAAGTAATAATTGCACAAATTAATGTCCCTATTGAGGAAATTGAAATAATTTAAAGAATTTCAAAGCCCTTTAATGTATTTAATCATCATATAATTGTGAATATATTAATTAATTATATGAACAAAATGGAACTTTGCTACAAAAATATTTGATCGACTGTCCCACTCATCTTAAAGAATGAACTGTTTCAAAAGGAGCATAATTAAATAAATTTTTATAGAATTTTGACAAAAAAGAGCAATAAATTGATTTCTGTTTTAAATGTATTTGGAATATTCCTTTGGACTGTCTCCGTTTAGAGAAGATTAAGTCACATCATCAAATTGCCTCAAAATACATTTCGTCTCTACGTCAAGTACACCTCAGATTGATCCCTAGTTGAACGTAACATTTATAAAAACGTAAACATTTTCCTGAATTTATCAAATATAAGGACTGGTTCGAAGTGAAAGATTATTTTCCCATTTTTTTAAAAAATAAAATTGTGGAAAAATATATTTTTCTGAATTATAAGAAATTCAATTAACTACGTCTTAAAACTGTCCCTACCGGCGGGCAGAATCGCAATATATATTTTTATTTAAAATTTAATATTTGCCTAACTGACTCGAAGCGTCATGGGTGTAATGGAAGATTTTTTAATTCAGTGTGAAGAAATAATTTCATACGAACAGCAACTAAAGGAGACCAATTTGAAAGAATACAACGATATGGCCCTAGAGGCAGAAAAGCTGGAAGTTGAAAGCTTATGGGGAGATTGGAAAGCTGCGTACAAAAAATGTATTTCTGATTTGGATTATCAGAAAAAGGACAAAATTACAGTAAAGAACAAAAAAATAGAAACTCATAAGAGCTATATGCGATGTCTTACTCTTATTGGAGACGCCAAAGAAACAATGAAAACTTCAAGTTTAAAACCAACTCAGAAAGTCAGCTCCTCAATTTCGGTCCCACCATGTGATACAGAGGTATTTCATGGAGATTATTTAAATTGGCCCAGTTTTCGGGATTTGTTCACTGCAATTTATGTAAACAATAAAAAACTTAGTCCGGTAGAAAAATTGTACCATCTTTTTCAAAAGACAAGTGGGGAAGCGAGACAGATAAATCAGCATATTCCTCTTACTGATGAAGGTTTTGATATTGCGTGGGATAATCTGAAGCACCAATATGAAAATAAGCGAATTCTTATAAATAATCAATTGCGTACAATTTTTAATCTTTCACAATGCTCCCAAGAATCAGCAAGCGCTCTAAAAAAGTTACAAAGGGAGATAAACAATGCTATTTCTGTCTTAAAGTTATACAAAATAGACATTCGATCATGGGATCCAATTTTTGTATTTCAATGCTCGTCAAAATTGCCGAAACTAACATTATCCCTTTGGGAACAGTCGATTGCCAAGAAGACGGAAATGCCATCCTGGGAAGAACTTAATATATTTTTAACGGAAAGATTTCAAGCACTAGAGAGTGTCTCTGACATATATGGTCCGCACAGTTCACGGTCTAATCTGCCCCAGCAGCAGAAATTTCACAACTTTGAAAGATCAAAAAACTATAAAGTCCACCATACAAAAGTCAACAATTCGAAATGTAAATTGTGTAGGGGAAATCATATTTTGCGATCTTGTCCCAGATTTTTAAGTATGGACTTTAAAAATAGATTGTCTATAGTAAAACGCGACAAACACTGCCTCAATTGCTTATCTTACGGTCACGTGGTAGCAGATTGTACAAGCGAAAAATCCTGCTCCGAGTGCAATTCGAAGCATCATACGCTTCTGCACAGGTCAAATGTTTCCCAACCAGAGAAGAAGTCAAGAGATTGTTTGAGGTCTCAATCCTGCCAAACGGCGAATCTACAGTCCACAGAGAGACCTTCTTCGCCTGAAAATATACGTACATACCATACTTCTGTAGCAAGTAAGACAATGCTGGCCACTGCTTGGGTGACAATTGTCAAAGATGGTACATGTCACAAAGTTAGAGCTCTTATCGATCCCTGTTCGGATGATTCGTTTGTGTCATCAAGGATACAAAAGCTCTTTAATCTTCCTACAATGCCAATTGCGGCAGAAATTAGCGGTCTCGGCGGCGAATGCCTAGCGAGATGCTCTAAAGTAGCAATCTTTACTATATCGTCCATTGTAACTCCTTCTTTTTCGTTGGAAATTGATGCGTTAGTTGTCCCTGACGTCACTGGAAATGTTCCCACACATTCTTTCAACTACGTAGAAAGAAACAAATTGCCAAACTTAAGATTTGCGGATCCTGAATTTTATATGAGTGGCCCAATTGATATCCTCATAGGAGGAACTTTATACCCACTGATTCTGCTCGGCGGAGTAGAACATGGGATATTAGGATCGTTAGTAGCCCAGGAAACGGTTTTTGGATGGATCGTAACTGGCCCTGCGAATAATAGAGTCGCAAAACAATCATTAAGATTATCTCATTGTACGAGAGTGTCTATCGACAAACAATTAGCCCGTTTCTGGGAAATTGAAGAAATTCCCACGAAAACAACTGTATCTGAAGAAGATAAAATATGCGAAAACATATATAAGACCACGGTGAAAAGAAACTCTGATGGTAGATATACTGTTGATTTGCCCTTCAAATTAGAAGAGCCGTCAAAATCAGCTCTTAATTCGAATAGATATGTGGCTCTTTGTCAGTTTCTACGAAACGAACAGTCAATGTTAAAAAAACCTGAATTTAATTCAATGTATGACGAGGTCATACAAGAATATCTGTCCCTTGGGCACTTGGAATTAATAAAAGCGCCAACGTCAAATTTGGAACCTTGCTTTTATTTACCCCATCATGGTATATACAAACCTGAAAGTATCACAACAAAGCTCAGAGTTGTTTTTAATGGATCATGCCCTACGTCAACTGGTAAAAGTCTAAATGATTTGCTTTATGTAGGCCCCATCCTACAAAAAGACATTACTACCCTCATATTGAATTGGCGTCTGTACAAGTTTGTCTTCAATGCAGACATATCAAAAATGTATAGACAAATACAGATAAATCCTAATCACGCCACTTTCCAACGAATCGTATATCGTTCTTCTCCTGATGAGGAAATCGAGGATTATCAGCTAAAGACTGTAACTTTCGGTCTCAACTGTGCCCCATATCTGGCACTACGGACTTTATTACAACTGGCCCAAGATGAGGAACATAGGTTCCCAATAGGAGCAAAGATATTAAGAGAGAACATGTATGTAGACGATGCTCTTGTAGGCGTACACTCGATCCCTGAAGGAATTGCTGCAAAACAGCAGCTAATAGACATTTTGAAATCAGCGGGATTCCATCTGCGAAAATGGACATCTAATTGTAAAAAACTTATTGAAGATGTACCACGAGACCATCTTCTCAATGGAGAATTCCTGGATTTTGATGATAAAAGCATGGCAAAAACGCTTGGAATCCGATGGAATGCAGCTAACGACACATTTTACTTTGTAACAGAAAAAATAGCAAACAAACAGTCGTTTACAAAAAGAGAAGTTTTGTCGGTAATAGCCCGACTTTTTGACCCTTTGGGGTGGCTTGCACCTGTTATAGTAACAGCAAAAATAATTATGCAACAACTTTGGTTGGATGAAATACAATGGGATGATCAACTGAAACCGCTTGCCCTGAATAGGTGGAAAACATTTTTAGATAGTTATTTCGATATTGACAAAATTCAAATACCCCGATGGGTGAAATATTCGCCAGAGTGCACAATAGAAATACATGGATTTTGCGATTCCTCAGAATTAGCCTATGCAGCGGTTCTGTATGCCCGAATAAAGATAGGAAATTCTGTTGCCTCAAATTTATTGGTTTCAAAATCGAAAGTTGCCCCAATTAGGAAGCAGTCTTTGCCCCGACTAGAGCTTTGTGGCGCTCTTTTACTGGCTAATTTGGCTCACGCTGTTCTTCCGCAGCTGAGTATTAAAAATCACACTTTACGCCTTTGGTCGGACTCAACAATAGTCCTAGCGTGGCTTAAGAAACCATCACACACGTGGACAACCTTTGTTGCAAATAGGGTTGAAAAAATTCAAGAGAAAGTAGGAAATAATTGGAACCATGTTGCAACACATGACAACCCTGCAGACCTAGCAACCCGGGGGGTGACTCCTTCAGAATTGAAAGAGAGAAGTCTGTGGTGGTTTGGACCAAGTTGGCTCCAAAAAGAAGAGAAATCCTGGCCTTCATATCTTAGTATTCCGGAAATTAATCTGGAAATGAAAACGTCTCAAACACATATAGCTAGATCTGCGGATGTCGAACACACTGAAATGCACTTGCAACATTTACATAATTATACAATGGCAATACATGTATTTGGATATATTGAAAGGTTCATAAAAGCCAATCATTCTGCCACGAAAAAGACCTATACATATAGAAGCCAAAACCTATCATCTGCGGAACTATCCGCTGGACGAAATCGACTTATTAGGTTATCGCAAATGAGATACTTTCCCGAGGAATACGAAGCTCTATCCCAAAAAAGACCTTTACATCGGAAAAGCCCACTTCTCACGCTCACACCCTTTATGGACAAAGATAAGATTATTCGTGCTAATGGGAGATTAGGATCAACCTTTTCATTGACTTATAGTGAAAGACACCCAATTATTCTGTCCCCGAGCAGTAAACTCACAAAACTTTATGTATCTTTCATACACGAGATGACGTTACACGGCGGACCCCAGTTGATGATGGCAACTATTCGTCTAGAATCCTGGATCATTCGAGGAAAGAATTTGATAAAAACACACATACATAACTGCGTTAAATGCGTAATGGCTCGGAAGAAGCTAGAAAGACAATTAATGTCAGCTCTTCCCCCAGAAAGGGTAACCCTAAGTCGCCCCTTTGCCAACACTGGTGTCGACTTCGCCGGGCCATTTGAGCTGAAAACCTATTCTGGTCGCGGGTGCCGCATTGTTAAAGGATACATCTGTCTGTTTGTCTGCTTCGCTACTAAAGCGATTCATCTAGAAGCAGTAAGCGATCTCTCTACTCCGGCATTTATGGCAGCATTAACCCGATTTATTTCTCGTCGAGGCTGTCCCAATAAAATATTTTCTGACAATGGTCGTAATTTCGTCGGTGCTGCTCGAGAGATTAAGGCAAACTTTAAAAGAACCGTCTTGGAGTTGAAAGATAAAGCCATATCACAATACGGCCAACAACAACTTGAATGGCATTTTATACCAGCTGCTGCCCCACATATGGGAGGTTTATGGGAGGCGGGTGTTAAAAGTTGTAAAACTCACCTGAAAAAGATTGCTGGTCAAATACATTATACCTACGAGGAATTTAGTACAATGTTAGCAGCCATTGAGGCCTGTCTAAATTCACGCCCATTGACCCCACAATCGGAAAATATCGACGATCTAACTGCTCTTACGCCTGGCCATTTTCTGATTGGCTCATCCTTACTGTCCCCTGCCGAACCAGAAGAAATTCCTACCAAAACATCTTTGCTAAACCGATGGCGGAAATTAAAAGTTATTCAGCAGGAGTTCTGCCGTCGATGGAAATCCGACTACTTGAAAGAACTCCACAAAAGGAACAAATGGAAACAGCCATCACAAAATCTAAAAGTAAATGACTTAGTTGTTCTGTCACAGGAGATGGGTAGTCCAAATGAATGGCGTTTGGGGCGTGTAGCAAAGGTGTATCCTGGCCCGGATGGGCACGTTAGGGTAGTCGACTTAAGGACGACAACGGGCTTGATAAAACGTCCCGTACATAAATTGGTCTTACTACCTAGCTCGCAGTAACTACAAAAAAATTCCTACCCCAATCCTTCACTCCCTAACAACCAACTGTGTTATTAAATTTAAACTAATTAACTTTTATATCTCTCTCAGAAAATGTTCCCTTACATGGAGGAATATCGCTGCCTTCTTTGCGCAACCCGACACTCACTCAGACTGTGCCGGCGCTTCTTGGTTCTCCATCCACGGGAAAAAATGAGGTATGTGCGTCAGAATAAGGCTTGTGTTAACTGCCTGGGGCTATCACACAGCTTGGAGGATTGTCGTAGCCCTGAAGTGTGTCGTGTCTGTTGGCGTAGGCATCATACCCTTTTACACGAGCTTGATGACTCTAAATATCAGTGGCTTCAAATGACAGCCCAAGCTCTGGTACATCGTCCTGGGGTTGATGACGAGAAACACATCGTCCGAATATTACTAAGTCCGAATTGCAGTGAGAGCTACATTGCACCACCATATCAAAGGTTACCTTTTCCAACAGACTACGACATTCCTGACTACGAGTTGCAATTTACCGATAGACACAGCGAGGTTCGAACACTCACCATAAAGCTTAAAACAAGCCATGATGGACGCCTAGAAACGCCAAAAGCCCATTGCCTTCCAGGAGAAGTGTGGAAAAAATACGATGTCGAAGATGTAGCTGACACTTCTTTCTACCTTCCATGGGGTTGCTCCATAGTATTGGGGAAAGATGTCTCGAAACATATCTACCTGGGCTTACCTCAAGAGCAGAAAGGTCTCCCTTACATACAGAATACCATTTTTGGTTATGCCTTTTTTGGTGCGTTGGAGACCGATGTGGATAACACAGAGTTGGTGAGAACGTTTATGGAGCAAAATACTATTTAACTAAATCATCGTGAGCTGGTATAATTGGAATTTGTTGTAATCATAAGTATATTGATTATTTTTTTTCTGTCCCCTACTGGGCTTTTGAACTTAAGCTTTAATCTATATTTAGTCTGCCCCGGTGGGCGTTTTGAATTCTATGAATTTTATTTATATTTATATTATTATTATTCCTTTTGTTTTGTTTTGAACTAATCGTTCAAAGGGGGCGGCATGTTCACGTACGCAAGGATTAGTTTCCTCCGTGTATAAAGGGACTAATCTCATCTCTGCGTACGTGCACGATTTGATGTGCCATCACTGACAATCGATGTCAGTTCTCGACCTTTTCCTTTTGTTTAGTTTTTCTTTTTTTTTGGATCAACAGAGTTTGTTGATCACCGTAAGAGACGGTCGTGTTTTGCTACAACGTAAATTTAACAAATCAATAAATTGTGAAATCTTGAATTGCCAAAATAAAAAGTTGTGGTTTTTTTGTATTAAAAAAAAAAAGGAAATTTTGGAACAACTCTAGTTTAATTTTTTACTGCCCCTACGAGGCCTGTGAGTTTGATTTTTTGGTCCCGATTGGACGACACTAAACCCCAGTATAACCTGTGACATACCTAAAGTGTGGATCGGGTATCCTGTTGCCGCAGAAAGTTAGTTGAGTGACAATAACAGTTCGTTTAATGGGTTTCAACGTTCTAAACCACATTCTCTTAAATACCTAAGAAATATTGATTGGCTATAATTAAAATTTGTTTACGTGCCCCATTGAAAAGTAGTCAGCATTTGAGGTTAGAAAAATTCATATTTAAAATTGAGTAAAAAGGTACAATATCTAAGCTTCCATATTAGGTTAACAATAAGCTATCTCTTTCAAAAAGAAAATAGTGTACAGGTACAATAGTGTGTAACTCATCAAAAAACTTGTTAATGACTCAACAAATTACATACCCTATTGGAAATAAACTTCAAGGTCGTTATGCCAATATAATCCCTGCATGGTTTAAATATGATTGAGGGGGGTTTTGGCGGGATCCGATTTTGGTGCATATATCCATACTTTGGGACAATGCGAAATTTAAGCACAGAATTGGTAAAAGTCATTAGCAACGAAAAGTTACAATCTTGGGCAGAGACCCTACGGACCCTATATGCAGAAATGTTATTATTTAAAACTTTTCTAAGATTTCAATAAGACCATAATAGGAACACATTTTTACAAATTTGATCTGCAATTTCGTGCTTTGATTCCGATAAGGACACTTTATCCAAGAAAAAAAGCCAATGTTTGTGGATCCATATATTCCAGTTTTAAGATTTTCGAACTATTTGATCTCATTTTTAACGAAATTACTCAATATCATAGATCTTATAGGAACAGACGTTCCTTTCCAGAAACTGCCAGAATCTAGTAAATAGTTTTAAATTTTTCCAGTTCTGGAATAGGACGAAATAATGTTATTTAACTCCCTATCTTTTTGGAAAAAATAATTTCAGAACCTTTGAAACCGACTTAGCCATGTCCGAATGTTTTTCTGACTATCAAAAATGTATACATCGCTATATTTTTGTTAAGTTTAGGTCAACCTCGAAAATGAAATATATCAGTCGAATCGATGTACCCTATATCTCCACAAAAGTGAAATTCTTAAAAAATACAAGAAATAAAACATTAAGATCTGCTGGACCGAACTTTAATACCCTCCATCATGAAGTACTGCAAATGCGAATGAAATTGGTTGGAAAACGCAGGTGAGGTGTTCAAAATACCGTAAATTGGATAGTACCGTAATATGGGCGCTATACAAAAATATGAATCTAAATACAAAATTCTCTGCTACAGGGCTTGTAATCTTTTATGAATATTAAATTCCAAAAAAAAAGTGGACCCCTATAGACAATTGTCTACCATTGGACCTAGAACCCAATACAGATTCTGAATACGATATTTGAAATAATTCGGTGAAAAATGTCGGTTAATCATCGCTATAGAGGGGCCATACTAAATCGGGGACCGAAATATCTCATTTTTAATACCTTGAAGTTGTAGGAATGTTAAAACACCCTCTTTCTCAATTAAACAGAGAATCAGGACTACTCTTCAGGGAGAACGCCAAAGTGTGCTGGAACAACAAACCACGGTGCAAGGTATCGAAATTTGGTCAGATATCCTCGCATTGAACTCAGTCACTATTAAACAAGCATACTAACAGGCCACTGCAACATCCGATCTAGATCAACCAAATTGGATAACTCTAATGTAGAAAACTGCAGGCTGGGTGAGGATGTGGAAGATCTTGAAAAGATCAAACTCCTTATATTCCACGTTCCTGCTTTATCAAGGGAAAGACTACGGGCTATGCGGGAAGATTCGACCCATGATCTCAAAATGTATGCTGACGCGTATGTGTAATTTTGCAAAAAGACGTAGGAGTTAAAACGTTTGTTTACATCCTTTCTATTTCTCTATCATCTCCCTCAACTTTCATTACTCCTTCCTTTTATTTTTACGCTGGATGATTCCAATGGACCGAAAGGTGTCCAAGTGAGGTAGTTACAATTTCAATTGCAACTACACATCCTCTAACCTAATATATTATTTTTAATAGGACAAATTTAATGTCCAAAGGTGGAAGGTATGCATATATATATGTTCTATCATGATGATTTTTGGGACAGGCAAGAAGTGAATTTGATTGAATCTTGAATCATCCAAATCGGTCTACACCTTTTTGTATGTAATCTACATTATTCAAAATTTTTAATAATCGTAGCTTTTATTGAAAGCGAAATAATATCAAGATTTTCAAAAGGGGCGAAGAGAGGATATAGCGGCCAATCTCTTTTGATGCTTCTCCAAAAAATCGTAAAATTTATTCTCGTGTGACCTTGAATTAGTTTCGAAAATTTGAATGATTCTCATTTTAAAACCAGATTTTCGCACATCTGTATACTTCTGTTTGTATTATAACTAGTATGAAGATGGGTTACAACGGTCAATTTCTTTCCGCCGATTAATGATGAACATTTTATTCAGCATTGCACATCTCAATATAAGCAATTTTGAAGCCAAACTATATATTGAGACTACATATCTGCTGGCAAAACGACTGATGTGAAGAGTTGTATATATATTTTACATTTGATAACAACTGAAAATATGCTAAGTATTTGCAAAACTAGTCACTTAAGTTGGCATATTTTCCAAGTGCAAAGTTCGAAACGACTCCAAATAGCCACTCTATTTAAAAGAGTTCTTTTAAAATTTAGAAAATTATTTTGCAACTATCCAACACTTTAGTTTACCACAAGTAAATTTGTGTGTTCACCAAATATAATTATAAGCAATGCATTATATTTCAAATTGAGTGAATAATTCGGGATTTAAGGTAAACTATTAATAATATATACATATAAGTACATATATATTCTGCCTTCAAGATGTATAATTTAAATCATTCGCATCTAAATGAATTCTGTGTGAATATTCTGTGTGAAAACTAACCGCAACATCTTCAACACTGATGAATGTCTGCAAATACAATGCGTTATCGTTGTGGTGGTATGTGTTTTTGTTAACTACACACCAATATCAACATGTCTACAAATATTCATAACAACACACCACTCCACCCTGTAACATCATATCAATCTTCGGTATGTAAATGTGTGGCAGTTGCTATTGTTTATTTGTTTTGTTTCTGTGGTGTCCTCTACCACCAGCCAACATGAGAACAACATTACCATAAAGGAGGAGGGGCGTCGAGAGTTACGAGAGAGATGTGGAAGTGGAATTATGATTTCTGGTAATGGTAGTTTGTTTTATTTTTAGTCCCTGCTTCCTTTCCGCTCTCACCACACTGAGAGAGAAAAAAACAAACTTGTTTCATTTGAAATTAGTGTGAGTGGGATGTGTAGGTATTTGTGTGAAGAATTTAATGGTTGACATGTGAAAACAAATGCTTGCGAATATTTTCTAGTCTTCTCTACTCTCACTACTCCCCTCCTGCCTAACCTGGATCATTTTACATATTTTTTTAGAGAATTTGTGTGTTCATCATCATCATCGCCATCATCATTCGCCCCAGCATCGGGGGAATATTTTGTTTATTTGTTTACTTTTATGATTTTTTTTTTGCATTTTGTTTTGTTGTTATTTTTTATGCTCATATTTTTTACCATGCCATTGTTGTTGAGCACTTTGCCCCCGGTGGTGTTCAGTTGCTGATACATCTGTTCTCAAATGTTGTTGAGCAGGAGGGCAGCCTGGCTGACTGGCTGGCAGGCAACGGGAGCTTAGCATGCAAAGTGCATAATAAATAGTTTGATATGTTTATTTGAACAATAATATACATTTGTTTGCTTTAACAATAATGAAATATGAAGAGCAACAACAGCAACAAAAAATGGGAAAAAAGAAACATGGCACAACAAATCAAATGAACACATTCGGGGCAATGAATGCAAGATTGCGAATAAGTTCCTACCAAAATATTCAACAGAGGGTTTTGAATAACAACAAAGTACTAAAATATGCATATCCCCATTTTCTGGTCATATATTAACACTTCAATATTCCGGCATATGTCAAGATGGAAATAATAGCTTTGCCAGGCGAAATGGGAAGGGCATGTAAATGTTATATGGTCTAGTTTAATTTCAGTAACATAATCCCTCCTAGGGCAAAATATAAATCCCTGAGTCTTCTGAGATGTGTCTTTTATTTTTCATATATTCCATTATACACACAATGAGCTCCGATCCATTTGAAATTTATTATTTGATAACTGCTCATCCATATACATGTTCTGCCATTACTTGTGTACGGATAAATAGAAGATTTTAATTAAATCATAAGCAAATATCTCATATTTTTTGTTTTGTTTCTGTTTCTTTTTTTTTTTTTTTCTTTCATCCAACACATATTTATCTTCACCGACACGTATGCTTCATTAAATGATTGTCGTTTTATTATTTGTCTTGAGCAGAAAAGACAAAGACAACTATGGCAATAATTGAGAGATTAGTTATGCATGACCTATTCAAAAAAATAAACATATTTTTATTAGGAAAATAATGCAATCAAATGTTGGCAGCACACACACACACAATTTTGTAAATAAATATTCTAATGACCTGAGATGATCCGAATTTGTAGATTTTTTCTAAATCTTCACACATATGAAAGAAAAGGCTAATTAGACAAAAAAATGTATGTTGTAATCTAACGAAGTGGAAAAATTCTTCTACTTTTTATAGACTGAAAATGACGGAATTGGATTTTTTTCAAATCTTCACACATATGTACAGGGTGAGATAAAAAACTGCAATAAAGTCAAACGCCATATTTTTTACATTTTTTTTTTAAATTTTATTGAATGGAAGCAAAAAGTGACGGAAATAGCTTCATATTTAAGAATAAGTTTAGATTTGTTCGAATTGGCATAATGGCATTCAAACGGCCAATGAAACTATCACACGCTGTCCGAATGTTGCTCTGAAGTATTTTAGCCGATTCCTGGCGAAGCGCTTGCTAGAGGTGATCGATAGTTTGGTATTTTTTAGTGCCAACCTTGCTTTCCAAAA